ATAAAATTTGCAAGGGACCACCAAGTGAGCCCGATTTTTGAATTTTTGTTTGCTTGTATTAAATTTTTTAGTGCAAAGTGTAGAAAAAGTGGCAATTTTGAAGAAAATCGATTCTCCTGTTCCAGTTAATAAATGTTACGTTTTAAAAACTAGTTGAAATTAACTGTAAGAAACGAAAAAAAACAAGAAAAATTTGAAATGTTATAAAAAATTTTCATAAAAAAAAAATTCTAGTGTACTAAAGTGCAATTTGGAAATCTCTAAGGGGTCGCGTTGGTTTTTAATAATTTTTTTCGCTAACATTTCGTGAACATCTGCATGTTAAATGGAAAAAAAACGTTTGTTATATTATTAAAAATCAACGCGAACTCTTAGCCACTTGCAACGTGCACTTCTCAAAATTTAATGATCTATAACTGCATACCCAAAATGTTTATTTCTTATAAAAAAAACAAAAATTAATTCTGCCGAAAATTTTTTTATAACATTTATATATTTTTTAAATTTTTTTTCGGTTTGGTGGAACCTTCAAATTGTTTTAAATTAGTTTTTATTATTAAAAATTTATTAATTGGAACAGCAGAGTCGCTTTTTTTCCAAACTGCCACTTTTTCCGTACTTTGCATCAAAAAAATTTAATACAAACAAACAAAAATTCAAAAATCGTACTCAACAGGTCTCTAGAAAATTTTATTAGCTTTCATTTAAAAAAATTAATCAAAATCTTTAGCAGAAAAAAAGGCAATTTCCATAAAATCCGTTCCCTGATCATAACATTACTTTCCGTGTCGTCGAAATAAAAGACTTGATTTCATATTGCTTCTATCATGATTTTATGTTGCATATTTTTAGGCAGCGCACAGCCTTTCATGGCTGCAATGTGAATGAAGATGCACTGCACTTTTTTTGATAGCTCTATTTATCATCAAGTAGCAGAAGAAAGAGAAATCTAGAAACGTTTGAGTATTCTTTGTTGAATCATTCATGATGGATTGCGAGTCCAATAAAATCTCAAAAGGCTAAAAATGTAAACTGCGTGTAACTTAGCGTGCACCCATTAAGCGCCTGCATGGCAATTTTCTCATTTGAACGCAGAGAAAGCAAATTCACGATGCGCAATGAAAGTGGAAATCATTTTTACGCCACTTTGCGTACCATAATCGTTTTATTTTTCTACAAACAGACATATATGTACGAATAGAATATAACAGTAAAATAACCTTCAACCACACAAGCTAGTTGGCTGAACTTGCAAAACACCTGTCTGGCCTTTATGTGCCACTCAATGGCCACTCAGACTTAACTATGCGTCAATTATTCATGTAGCAATCTCTGTATGGCTGAGGGAGCTCTCTTCTTTATTGTGTATGTATATGTATATGCAACAGAGGGATACTTTTGTGTTTGTACCGCCCTGTATGTTTGATAGTCTTTGTTGAACAACGAAAATTTATAAAATAATTCCTTACAACTGAAATCCTTTCACGCCTTTCACCACTTTAATTGCCACTTACACAAATTGTTGGTTAATTTGGAATCATAAAAGCCGCATGTGGCCAACACAAATGCAATGCATATACAACATGCACGGAGAGATACATTTGTGAGCCTACCCTGTAGGAAAAAAATTTAATAGATTTTCTTTTACTAAGGGGCCGTAGAGGGGGGTAAGCGAAATAAAGATCCCCACTCCTCATTGGTGGTTATGTAATACTTGAACTATATTTTTTAATTGTAGAAGAGCGTTTTATCGTGTTTGCCTCTAACTTTGACGGGAATAATGATCCAGTAAGCGAGGAGTATAGGTTGTCTGCCCGATGCAGATGGCGTTGTTTATCAAATTGCGACAATTCAGTGAAACTGCCCAAGCGAAGAGATATTTGCTTCCAAGGTTGACGACGCGTTGCCGGACATGTGTTTGAGTTGAATTTCAGGGCCGATATCTGAACATCTGGCGTGAGGTCATAAGTATGGCTGGCTAAGTCTTATAAGCAGCGAAGACTCTGGAGCACATCTTCTGTGTGTCGTCCAGCCTTTTGCATGTTGAAAATTAGTCACTCGGTAGTAGGCCTTCTTCTGCATCTAGGGCAGCTGCCAAAATAGGATATAACAACTTGAAGTAGTTCCATCCTGGTCTCCAGAGGCTAGCTACGTACTGTGTTCGTAATTTTTCTGTTCACGTTACGGACCTCAATGGTCTCTGGGAAAATACACTGTGGATAGCCAGCTTCACTTAGCCTTATCTATGGCTCCCTTTAATATTCAGACAACCGTTTACAACAAGCGTTTAGATTACCCAATGACGCCAGTGAGGTCCGACATTTCTTTGTAATTCTTATGATCACTACTTGGATTTCTTTTTTGCTAAGAAGATAATGGCTCTTTCTGAAATACATTTCCTATTAAAGAAAACTTTTACATCCTTGAACATTTCGAAACGAGTGAATTTTCCTGCAGGCCACATACACATAATCGCAACCACAAAGTGATTAACAATAAAACGAGCTTACAAACATACCCTGTTATGGATATTATTATGCAATGGTTATTCTCGTTAGTGTTGGAGCGCTTAGCGCCGTTTAAAAAGTAACTCGCCAGTCTTTTTTTTGGGCTTTCTTTTATCTGTAATTATTTCATTGCAGTTGGCAACATTTTTACTCACATGCAAACGAGCAGTGCAGAGCAAGAGTGTTTTTGGTGAACATTTCACACATGTTTGTACGAGTATGTAAAATGTTTGCAACAGCAGGAACATTAATAACAACGAACACTCGTTACGCAAAGTTACATGCTCATAATAAAAATAACAACTACAACAACCAAAGTTTTGGAGTGAAAATGGCAGACCCATTTCAAAAGTGTCGAGCCATTTTCATAATAAATTTATGTTGCTATGCTGTCGGCAACATTCGTCGCTGTTTTGTACTGTTGCGGATAGTTCTGGCGGAAGTGCGGCTAGGCAAAACAGCAATATGTATGTTTGAACATATTGTGGCTGCGGGACATTTTTGAGCATATACATATGTATGTACATTAGAGCGGGTCAATCTCTATGGGAAAGAAAAATGTTTGTAACTAACCACTCTAGTTTTAAAGCCTATTTATTTCGAGAGTACTTTGCTTTCATAGACATTTTCGTCCTTTTCAAGTCTTAAAAACAACAAAAATTGAGTTTTCTTCATATACGCTCAAATTTTACAGAAGAGCGAGGAAACGGATTTACTTTGAAGGCATTGCCTTGATAAACGGTATTTTCTACATGGAAGAATTTCGATGTCAATGATTATTTAGACGAATTTCTTTATTCACAAATTACAGAAAAACAAAAACAAATGGTCAATTGGATCGTGAAGAAATTAACGATAACCTTAAATTTTTATTTGAGAATTGAAGTCGGTTTTTATTTTTTGCTTAAATTTACTTGTTTTATTTTACTTTATTGGATTTTATTCCATTTTAATTAGCTTAGTTTGCTCTCATTTCCTTTAGTTAAGTTTTTTATGTTTTATCCAAACTTATTTAATTTCATTGTTTTATTTAATATTATCGAACTTTATTTGATATAATTTTATTTAAATATTTCTTTCTTATTTCATTTTTATTTAGTTTTTTTATTTTATTTTGTTTAATTTAATTAATTAAAATTTCTTACTTTATTTTACTTTATTCGTTTAATTTCATTTAATTTAATTTTACTTTACTTTAATTAATATTTATTTCACTTTATTTTATTTCATTAACGTAATTTAATTTAATTTTATGTTATTTTAATATATTTTGGTTTATTTAATTGAATTTTATTGAATTTTAATTCATATTAATTAATTTCATTTGTTCTTACCTTGTTTTGTTCTGTTTTATTTAATCTCAATTAACTTAATTTAAGTTTATTTATTTAGGCTTATTGCATTTTATTTTAATTCATCTCACTATATTTATTTTTTGTATCTTAGTTCTTCTTTTATAAATTAATTTAATGTTACTTTTTTATTAAGTTTAATTTAACTTTATTTGATTAAATTTAATATTATAATTTTTTTATATTTTTTTTTTTATTTAATTTACTTTTTTTTGTTTTATTTTATTTTATATTATATTGTATTTATTATAATTTTGCGTTATTTTATTTTACCTTATTTAAATTTATTTTTATTTTACTTAATTTTTTTTTTTGATAATTTATTTATTTTATGTTAGGTTGTTTTATTACTTTTTTGTTTTAGTTTATTTCATTTTATAATTTTTTATTTTTTATTTTATTATATTTCATTTTATTTTCTTTTAAATTATTATGCTTTGTTTTCGTTTATTTCATTTTAATTATTTACTTTATTTTATTTCATACATTGTGTTTTCCGTTTATTTATTTTAGGTTTATTTTTTATTTATTTTTTAACATTTTATTTTATGTTGTTTTTTATTATAATTCATTTTATTTCATTTTATTTGATTGTGTTGCGATTTACTATACTTTGAATTAATTTTTTTATTCTGCAAATATGTACCCATATCTTTCTTTGACTAACTTGAATAATTCGTATTTCCTATAAACAATCATATGTGCAAGCATGCATACATACATACGTACATACATATGTATGTACATATATTTAGTACTTAGTATTCTCAACAGTAACAAGCAGAAACAAGCCAAGCTTATCATTTTACACACACACGTATTGAGACATTAAATCAAAGCAAGTCTGTTAATGGCATGCTTTTGTTTTTATTGACCTCACACAATTGCAGTACGAGTGTCTTTTTAAAAATAAAAACGTATTTTGACACTGAGGACGCGCTACGTGTTTAGACCACAAGAAAAATCGCGGTTTTATTTTTGTAGTTACACCTATCCATCAAGTTAACTTAGTATGGCAACATATGCATGAAAGGGAGATACTTGTCGGTATACATGTGTGATTGTAGAAGCGACGAAATGCATTAGCTTAATTGTATTTAAGCTCAAGCATTTATCGAACTTATCATCAGTTAAAGTTTGCTCTACTAAAGTAAAACAACTACCAAACAACAAACAAAACAAAATGTTCAAATACGTAAGTTAAAAGCATTCACCTCACTCATGTGCATATATTTATATGCAGAAATGTATATGTATTAGAAATAAATAAAAAAATTTAAGATTTACTAATCGTACTTTTCCCAATCTTTTCCCGTAGTTCGCACTCGTTTTCGTGGCCCTGTTCGCCTACGCTGCTGCTGAGCCCAAACCAGCTGTCGTCGCTGCGCCCTTCGCATACTCAGCCCCATTGGTTGCTTCACCCTACGCTGCTGCCTATGCTGCTCCCTACGCCGCTTACGCCGCTTCTCCCTATGCCGCCTACGCTTCACCCTACGCTGCCTACTCCGCTTACCCATACAGCGCCGCCTATGTGCTCCGCAAGTAGATGGAATGTAGTAGCAGCAAATCTGTGATAGTAACTGGAACTGATTGGAAATGGAATTTTCTTAAAAAAAAAAAACAATTCTTTTAAAATAAACCTTAACACGAAAATCAAATGCAAAAACTTTTTATTTACTTATTGAAACTAGGACTGCCTCTTTGAGATTATTTAACCGAAGCTTAGCTCCTATCTGTGATATTCGGAAATGCAAATCTACTACTCTTCCGGGATATGTGGATACATGGATGGAAAAGTATCTATTTATTTATTCATTTATTGACAGCTTTAAAAGACATATAACAAATCTGGAAATTTGCAATATTTTCTCACTCTTTTATTTGGTACAATTTTAGGTTTATAGTGTTTATGAGGACTACTTAATATTGTAATACCGAAATTAAGAATGTTCTTATATTAGCCAAACAAAAACTGACATACTAAATCATACCTACTTTAAATTTACTCAAAAATCCTTCTCTTTCTGGTACGAGCTCTACTCCGAAAAATCAGTGGCTAGTAAGGTATTTTGTGATTTAAACTAGCAATTGTTTTTGAAGGTAATCTTTTTGATGATCAATTCAAAAGGCATTTTGTATTAGACGTGAACTTAAGCTCCGACTGGGTTTTCAGCAGATATTCTTGAGTTTGGGTACTTGGCAAGACAACCATTTGTTGGTTTTGGCTGAGACCAACTAACTTCGCCAACTGCCTCTATCTTTTGCGTGGTGGCGCCCGTTGTTCATCCCGGGGGCAGACAGGTCCTTCTGCACTTTGTCTTTCCATTGTGTTAATGGACATCCTTTCTTTCGTTGTCAATCCGTAGGTGTTGAGTCGAAGTAACTTTTTACTGGATCCTTGTCATCCATGCCTAAAACATGGCCAGGCTAGCGCAATCGCTCTATTATTATGCGCTTAACCATGTCCATGTCGTTAAAAAGCTCGTACAGTTCGTCTTCGGTACTCCCGAATTTATCAGGTAGTGACTGACTTTCCTCTCAATTGCTTCAGACTATTTTCTAATTAGTGTCATATGGGTTACAGGCCACTGCGATATTACGCATGACTGATGAGTTTGCGAAAAAAGTTACCCTTGAAACCATATCGCCGGGCAAGGAGCGGGCGAGAGCGGCACTCACCGCCGACAGTGGACTCTAGGCCAAAATGACCTCTGGACAGCTTAGCGAAAACTAGGACCTTCAAAATTCCGAGGTCCAGCTAGGCCAGAAGGGATTGGAAGTGGCCGAAAAAGCTACCATATAAAGCCACAAATCTCAATTTGTATCCTTGAAGTTCACTGCTTGACGACGAGCTGGAGTCGGCTTAACATTTATTCTAGGTTGTCCACTAGACCACCTTACCAGAGTAAGTACTAAAATAGGATACTCGAAATTGCCTTAAAAAAAAAAACAAGTAAATACTTTAAGAGCGTCCACTTCAATTTAGCTTACTACTGGTACCTTAACTAAATTTATAGCATTCTTGAGAAGGCAAAAACTTTCCTTGATTTTATTTGTTTAAGTACTATACTCGAGCGAACATTTTGCAAACTTATACAAATATGTATGTAAGTATGTGCATATGTATATAAATGTAAATAAATATGCAGCTTATGTTGCAATAATTGGTAATAGTTTGTAAATGTAACAGCCAAATGTGTGGCAAGGCAAATACAAAAAAAAAAATCAACTACTAAGGTGGCGTTTATATTTATGCACATACATACGTATGTGTAAATGTGTAACGTGCGCAAAATTAACCGTAAATACGAGGGAGGACAAGTGACAACAGCAGACACTGCTGTGAAAACCTCTAAGCATACGCACACGCACACACCCTACCACTGAGCAAACATAACTATTCACCAAACTAAATATCCGTTGCCAACTATATACATAAATACATACATACATACATATTACATACTAGTTGTGGCTGCGACAAATCAACTCGCACACTTAAGTGACCATGAAAATGTTGTTGACAGCCGAGCAGCAACTGTGAACGACGCTGAAGGACTGCCAACAACTCAACTAAACTCGACGATACGAAATCCCTGGCACAAAATGTTCTGTTCGCTGGTGACCGACATTTAACGACACAAAATTTAAGCGACACATTTATTTCGATTAATAGCTACCCAGTAGGAAAAGGATTGCTGCTGGGAGGATAGGGGTTCTTACTGACACATCGGAAGGCCGAATTAGCACACTTGAAGTCATCAGAGAAGCGTCTGCGGCTAAGCGTTGGGTTAACTCGTTTCCAGTGGGTACTCAAATACCTACATACATACTTACGGAAGTATCATAGTAACTGCAATATTTCTAGCGGGGTAGAGGCATAAAGACTTCAAATTTATACTTTGCCATGGTTTTTCCTTTTTTGTTTTACGATTTTCTAGCGGGGCTCATAACTACGCCAGAAAACGAGCGGCTGTGGGCGCTGAAATAGAATGTGTTATGCTAAACGAAATGTCCACCACATAATGTTGCAAGACAAAACTAAATGCCAAATTAATTTGTTGGCATCAATGCGTGCGGGGTCAATGAATGAAGAATGGTTTAAAGATTTTAAGGTGTATTTTATTGTGCATGAATATTCAAAAAAAAAAAATTTACAAGCAAGTATGTTTGTTTAAGATTAAGTAAAAAATATATATGCATGTTGTCGATAGCTATCGGAAGATTTTAAATTCGATGTAATTAAAGCGAGGTGCCACAATTCACCCACATTCTAGTTTCGATCATTTGCTTGTTAATCCTGTGTAAGAGTTTGAAACTTAAGATATTATTCTTTCCGATATTGAAGGTTCGACGAAACAACAATGGTTTCGTGGTGTCCAACATTTAGCTCAGTTTTAGGTACAAGCTTGACTGCTGTGCTTGAGCAGGTTGTGAAGCGGTTTTAAGCCATTCTAAAGGCTATTTTGAACATAACTATTTCCCCGGGATCTATTGTGAAATTTATAGAGTCTCTAGGGCTAGTCGATGAGTTGTGATGAGCTAAGCGTACAATAGACCATCCGTTTGCAGTGCTATAGCTAACTATTTATCTATCTTTCTATATGTATATACGAGATGTCCTAGATCACTCGTCCATCCTCTGTTAAATAAACGGAAATGTTTTTTATTGAACAATGCAAAGTATCATCTACCAAATCGGGGATGGTCTATCTTCTGGTGGTATCTGGTTTCGACCTGAAGTGGGTTAAACTGCCCGTAAGTCTATTTTTTTTTTAAGAAAATACATGTTTTTACGAAAGATTCGGATTCTGCGAACAAAAATACATAACTTCTGTCGGAAACTTTTTTTTAATGGACTTCCGGTTAAAATATTGCACTTCCGGTCTGTTTAACCCACTTCCGGTCGAAACTGGAAATCGTTAGTTCGACCAAAAGATAGAGCATCCCGAATTTGGTAATTCAATTTTTTTCGTCATGCAATAAAAATATGTTCGCTCATTTAAGAAGACCAGGACGAGTTGAAGTTCGAAGGTCATTTAGAATTTGAGAAAGGCGCTTCCGGGTAAAAAGTTTCAAACTAAAGTTACGTATTTTTATCCTCAGAATCCAAATCAGCTTAACCCACTTCGGGTCGCAATCGGACACTTTCTGACACTTTTGACACTCAATTTCGAAGAACTACTAAATATGTAAGGAAATTTTATAGATACTAGTGAAGCCGCATGGCGTTAAAATGCCCAAAATTGAATTTCAAAACCCTAAAAAATATTCCAAATATTAGTCACAGCTATAAGCGATCAAAGTACCATAATAATAATCCTAATAGATTGGCGCTTACACATATGTTAGTGTTTGGCCGAGCTTCTGCTCCGATTTGTGGCGTGCACCTTGATATTGTCTCACAAAGCGGAGGGACCTACGCCGACCCCGAACGGCGATTGTATTTTTATGAGAAGCTATTTTTCATGGCAGAAATACACTCGGAGATTTGCCATTGCCTGCCGAGGGACGGCCGCTGTTAAGAAACAAACTTTTTTCTATATATTTTTGCGATGTTGCTTTGACCAGGGCTTGAACCCAGGCGTTGCGGAGTGAAAGCGCGCACTGCTTGCCACTACACCACAGCGGCCGACATCAAAGTACCATATTTCATCTAAATCCGTGTAGCAGTTTTTTAGTGAAGAGAGGTCTCGCATAGGGCAGGTTTTTAATTTCATCAAAATTTCAAATAACCCATTACCGATAAAAAAAAATCTGAAGAAAAAAAGTAAAACTTTATCTACAAGTTAAGGTCTTTAATTTGACCTCTCATTTTTGAAATTCAAAATAACGCTGAAAATCGAATGACTTTTACACAAAATACCTTCTCGTATAATATACATACTTATACCTATACTTTTAGATCGATATGTTTTTTTTCGGAAAGGTGGCCAGCCTTATTAAAGATATTTTCAAACTAAGCTTTCATAAATTTCTTTCGATTCACACCCATATCTAAATATTTCATTAAAACTGTGTATGCGTTAACTAAATTAAAAGTTATTTCAAACTAAAATATTCTTAACTTTCTTTCACCTGACATTGTGATAAACACCTGGCTGGTTTATGTCAAAAAGCTGCAATTAACTTTTTTATTTTGACTATAACTACGGACCTTTGTTTCCCAAATCCGTGTCGTCTAAGTATGGGAAAATACTGACTACATGTTAATAAGTTTGTTAAGGGGCCGAGTTTCTATTCCATAGATGTACTGTGTAAAAATGTCCGCTCTTTTCGGTGGATACATTTGGATACTATAAAGGCTAAGGCAGTGTCAACACTGACGGCAAATAATCCGTGTATAAGCACGTTGATCAACTGTATTTTAGCTACATAACCAGTTGAGGAAGAATACTTTTAAGTTAAGTGGCTCCTCCAACTGCTAGAATGACATGCAATCAATGCGTGTATAGTACGCTTTACGAAAATGCTCTTTTTTCATTTTTTTTTTCGTTACACATTGAAACTCACCATCAAAGTAATAAGTAATAACAAGTAGACAAATTTTGTTTCAAACTTTTTCTATTTTTTAATGCGATTTCAATCAAATTGTGTCCTCTTCATTGCCAATCAATTTCAATAGCTTATCAC